CACGGTGAGGTTTGCGACCACGGTCTCCACACGGTTTTCGGGGACCTCCCCTGCAAACTGCAAAATGGAAGGAAAGAATGTTCCAAGCCTGCGTTAAGTGTAAATATGCACAGAGGAGTGCACGTAGCACATGTGCACAGCTCAGTGAACGTTCACAAACAGAACACACCATGCAAGCAGCGCCCAGATCAGGACTCAGAGACGACAGGCTGTTTGGGGGTGCACAGGAGCGTGCACCTTATATGTAGCACAGCCACGTGGGGCCCATGGAGGCAGGTGTTCAGGCCTGCCCGGTAGGCATGTCAGCCCATGGCCACGGCAGAGCGCCACTGATGGAGCAGCTTCAACAATGGGCACTTATTTTCATTCCCAGTCCCCACCCCAGACCCCTCCCAGGTCCTAAAGTTTCCACCTGTCCTGGCTTGATGGTGGCCCCAAAGATGTGGCCACATCTCAGTCCTTGGAAATGCCACCTTACAGGGAGAAGAGGTGATGGAGGTAAGGGTTCTGAGATGGAAGGTTTTTCTGGATTATCCAGGTGGGAGCTGAATGCCACCACATGCATCTTTAGAAGAGGCAGAGGGGATTTCACAAAGCAGAAAAGACACGGACACATTCAGAGGGAAGGCCGTGGGAGATGGGGCAGAGGCTGGAACAGTGCAGCCACAACCCCAGGAAACCAGGGTGGGCCCAGAACCTGGAAGAGGCAGGGAGGGTTCTCCCTGGAGTCTTTAGAGGGAGCAAGACCCTGCTGATTTCAGACTGACAGAATAAATTCCTGGTGATTTCAGACTGACGGAATAAATTCCCATGATTTCGGACTGACGGAATAAATTCCCGGTGATTTCGGACTGGCGGAATTAATTCCCGGTGGTTTCGGACTGACGGAATTAATTCCCGGTGGTTTTGGACTGACGGAATAAATTCCCGGTGGTTTCGGACTGACGGAATTAATTCCCATGATTTCGGACCGACGGAATAAATTCCCGGTGATTTCGGACCGACGGAGTAAACTCCCGGTGATTTCAGACCGACGGAGTAAGTTCCCGGTGATTTCAGACCGA